GCCTGCATTTCGCGCACTCGACACGCACGATCTCCGCAGAGGGTTGCACTTTCGGTTGACGCTGTTCGTCCCACCCTTCGCCTTTAAGAGAGAATTTATAATGTGGGAAAATGTTTTCATTAGGACATCTCCCGTGCTAGTTTTCCATGCTCATCATTAGTGCTCATCATTAGGACATCTCTCGTGCTAGGTTTCCATACTCATCATCGCACTTGCATCATTACACTTGCATACTTTGACACTTGCATACTTAGCACTTGGATGCTTGCGCTCTTCCACTTACACTGGGGTACGTATAGCGTTCATGTTGTAGTGCAAGTGTGGTGGAAGTGTCAGTGTGTAAGTGTAAGTGTCGAAGTGTCAGTGTTCAAAGGATTTTCCGGAAGAACCCTTCGCAATGCTTTCGGGAAAAAACAAAAACAAACCAAGCAAAGAACAATATATAAGACAAAACGGCAGACAGCAACAAAGATAAACCCTTAACCTCTAATAATCCGATCTTACAAATCCATAATGATAATCAATAAGTATTATTAGAAAGATGTTAGTAGTAAATATCTTCAATAACTAGAGACCTAAAATGAAATGCTTGTATTCGTATTATACTATCTTTATCTTTGTCTTCTTCTATGTTGGTATTTATTTCTTCATCTGCTTTATTCAATACATCGTCTATATTATCTTCACCTACATATTCATCAAAGTCATTCATGAAGTAAACTTCTCTCATAAATCAAAGATAGTAATTCTTCTTTTTCTTCTGTTATGAGGTTTCCTATACCTTCCAATCTAAATGGCGCTCCCTGCACTCCCTCTCTCATAATACAATACTCAATTATATACTTGTTGTTTCTTTGTCTTATCTTTCTGTCTATTTTCGGACCAAGTATTGATTTTTTTATTTGTTTTGTATTCTCCATGCTTCACTATGCTCTATTTTCACATATTCAGGTTCTCCAAGTTTTATAAGAAACAATTGTACTCAACACATCAACAGGTAAATCCTTCATACAATCCGTCCTACTAATATACTGCAAGGACTATTCTTTAAGTACTTATTCAAAGAATAACATAATAAAGTTCTTGATATGATGAAACAGATTTTAGACTATCTATAGAATACGAATCCAGCAGAAATAACCAAAAGAGGAAGAAACGAATTAAAGTCAATATTAATAGATGATAAGAAATTCAGATACAACAAAGACAAACCCATATCA